AGCACTGCAATACTATGACAGTTAATCTGATAACTGCAATAGGTACCAAGTGACTAACAGGCAGGTAGCATATATGGCATGGATAGGCTGGGCAAAGGGATGATTCACATTCCAGTGGGATGGAGTCAGATGGTGCAGGATTTCATCACTTTAACCAATGGCATGTAATTTAAAACTTATAAGTTGTTTATTTCTGTAATTTTCCTTTAACAGTTTTCAGACCATGGGTGACCACAGGTAACTAAAACCAGAGGGGGGAAAGCTGCAGATGGGAGGGTTTACTTCTCTAAAACTACATATAGTTTCCCCCCTATTTTTGCCAAAAGGTAACATATGGTAATATAGTCTATTGCACCTTCCAAAAAAAAAAAAAAAAGCAAACTTTAAAGACACTAACAATAAAAAGTAAGTACATAAAAGATATTTCATAAAACTCTATCTTAACATACTCAAGAGTAGTATGAACAATATGTTGTAAGAAAAAGTAACATTCCGAAATATAGATTCTTTATTAAAAGTTAGGAATATAATATCCTAATAAATTTCATGAATGTAGAAGAAAAGTCTTCCAAGGGAAAAAAGTTAGAAAATCTGGAAAATGTGAGATGACAGTTGAATGTACTATATTATTACAATATCCATCTCTGTACTATATTATTGCAATATCCATTGTTAAAGTATTTAGGCAGAATCTGGAATTCCACAGAAGCAATTATAAGAGTTTCTCAATAAGAAAGTCGTTCTGAATAAATTCTATGATTGTTTTCTATTCACACCTAAATAGCTTTGGAGAATAACTCTCTACTATTAAACAACATGGGATGTTATTCATAATGGTAACCTTGATTCACAAAGAAAATATTAAGTTGTGATCAGTTACACATCAATGAACCTGGTTGTAGCTCTAGAAGCCTTTGGGAAGATGCTTGTTTCCCAGTAATTGACCATATCAACATGGATCAGACCTGGTCGAGCAGGTCTGGCCGACTGGTGGGCCTATCTAGTGTCTATTAGAATGTAGAATTCAAGATAGAAATGCTGGTTGGAAATGAACTCATCTCCAAGGTAGAGAGAGTCAGACATAGCAGCAATGTTCTTATCAGCATTTAAGTCATCAACTAGAGCAACAGTTCTGACTTTCTGACTTGTTTTTCTTATCTAGATTTCTTCTCCAGTTTTCTGTAAATATAACTACTTTAGGGGAAAGTGGGATTGTGAGCAAAACCTAAAAGCATCATGCTGACTAAAACGTATGTAAGAACTTAGAATGCAAGATGACACTAACTTGATGCCCATGTGGCCCACAATACCACAAAAGGGAAGTGTTCTCTGTTTCTGATCAGACTGCAATCTGGCTTGGCTTATTACAGGTTCCAGGAACACTGTTTGGGATAGAAAGTTTTAGCATGTCAACATTGCCCATGGCAGCACTGGGATTTATGGGAAAGTATCCAGGAGTAGACAGACTGTGTCCAATGAAAAGGGACTATGTTTATTTTTGCATGCAGTGGAGTGTCCAGAAACTGAAAAAAGACTGTAAAGCCTTGTTCATATGCATACTGAGATATATCTTAGTAATTCCAAGTAATAAAGAGTAGAGAATTTGATTGGGTATAGAATCTCCTTGTGGGGAGAGGAGGTTGAGTAGTTTGTTCTGCAGAGCAGCCAGTTTCTTATTCTAAAAAGACCTGTGGTGATTTTAAAACATGTCTGAAAATTCTTTGGCACTTCTTCCATCCAAAGGTGGGATCTAGCCAGGTGTGGTGGCACACATCTGTAATTATAGTGCTTGGGAGGCTGAGACAGGAGGACCATGAGTTCAAAGCTATCCTCAGCAAAAGCGAGGTGCTAAGCAACTTAGTGAGACCCTGACTCTAAATAAAACACAAAATGGGGCTGGGGACATGACTCAATGGTCAAGTGTCCCTGATTTCAATCCTCAGTACCCCCCCCCCCAAAAAAAAGTGGGATCTAAGGCTGGGGTTGTGTCTCTGTGGTAGAGTGAGGCACTTGCCAAGCATGTGTGAGGCCCTGGGTTTGATTCTCAGCACCACATATAAATAAATAAAATAAAATAAAGGTCCATCAATGACTAAAAAAATGGGATCTATATCCCCTCTCCTTGAATTTGAACCAACTTAGTGACTTACTTGTATCCAATAAAATGCAACAAAAGTGATGGAAGCTGGGTCAGAAAATGAATACAACTTTCACACTGTTTTCTGGAATACTAGCATTTGAAGTTTTTAGCTGCCTTTTAGAAGTCTGACAACCCTGAGGCAGACATGCTAGGAAGAAGCTATCATGAAGAGGGTATGTTTAGGTATTATGGCTGACAGCCCCAGCTTAAGTCCCAGTTTCCAACTACCAGCCATGTTAATAAATGTGTCTCAAAGTAGTCTCCAGCTACCAAGCCACCCCAGGCATTGAATCTTTCTCAGTTGAGACATCATGGAGCACAGATAAGCCATCTTTGCTATGCCTTGTCTAAACTCTCATTCAGAGGATAATTTTGCACTTTGCAAAGGATAGAACTATAATGTTTGATGCTCACAATGATAAAGTTAGGTAGGCTGGATTGGCATTATCATCCTCATTTTAGAGATTAAAAACAAAACAACAAACAGGAATTTAAGCCTACCTATTTTGAGATTATATAGTCAAGATCCAACATGCTAACATTAAAATCTTGATCTTTGAATTCTAGAGTTTATGCCTTCTCTGTTGTTTCTCATCTGGATACTGTAGAAATGGCCTAAGAAAATAAGATAAATCCAGAATTTGAAGGCAAGGTCAGAAAATATTGAATGAAATGAAACTGACAAGAATTATTATTATTTGGGTCCTGGAGACTGAACTCTGGGTCCTGGGGATTGAGCCACATCCCCAGCCCTATTTTGTATTTTATTCTGAGATAGGGTCTCACTGAGTTCCTTAGCACCTCGCTGTTGCTGAGGCTGGCTTTGAACTTGCAATCCTCCTGTCTCAGCCTCCCTACCTGCTGGGACTACAGGCATGCACCACTGTGCCTGGCAAAACTAACAAGAATTATTATTAAATGGATGTGAGTGCTCATCTCCTGGAGAAGAAATCATGAAAGATAACTGATCTATAGGTTGATACATAAGGTTATCATTTAAAATGGAATCAATAGAGACATCTTAGAAATTTTAACATTATAAGGAAGTATAATAATGATATAATATTTTAAGAGCTCTTTTTAAAAATATAAGACAAATTAAAACAAAAAACAATCTTGCCATTTGTTTTTGATAAAGTCAAAGGGAAAGGGTGCCCTGAATGTCTAATGGTACTCTTTCAGTCTGCTCTTAAGTATGTCCTTATGGTAAAGAAGAAGGGTCCTTCACACTACACTAGCATAGCTTGATGACACATTCCTGTGATCATCATCATTTACTCTATATTTGCCAGAGCACATTTGGATTTAAATTTAGTTGTTTTAAGGAAACTTTCCTGCTTGGAAGAGAATGTACAATGAAGCTGACAAAGCATACCATGCTCATTTGATGGGTAGTATTTTCAAGGTAGAGGAATGTTAGTTCTCTCTCTCTCTCTCTCTCTCTCTCACACTCACACACACACACACACACACACACACACACACACTCCTTAAGAGTAAGCATCAATTCCCAGGCTCATGTTGACCCAATGAAATAGGCTGAGATCCTGTTTCAGAAGTCAGTAAAACAGCTAACTCTTGAATCATCCTAAATACAAATAGGAGGTCACTGGTGACCCCCCTCCCATCCCCTCAAGGAAAGCACAAAAAGGCAGAATTCACTCCAGCTTTCATGACTTCATGATTATGTTATTTTAGCAATCACACACCAACAGTAACTTCTCACTTTTTATCTCCCTTCCCTAAAAAATTTCTTCTCTAATTATTCCACCCCCCCGTTCTTTTAGATTAAATGAATTGTTAACAATGAAGGGGGTTTCTTTAATTCCATTCTGTAATTGGGCTTGTCAAAGAAAATTTATCTTTCCTCTCTCAACTATTTTCACATATATTTTGCACAGAGTATGCCTTGGAATATCCCATTCATGAAGTATGTAAAATATTTGGGACGATTTTCTTCAACCCCAAAGTGATTAGTTATGATGCTTCAGATGTCTAGAATGTTATGTGCTTTGCAGGGGCCCCAGGGCATATGGAAAGCGTACGGTATTTGTTAAAACGAATGGCTCCAGAAAAAGAATAATACACTAAAAGAAAACATTCTTTTCTCAACGATGAAAAATAAAAAAGCTTTTAGAGTTCCACTTGGATTCACTTTAACAATCCTTTAAGGAAAGGGTTTGAATACCATACTGACAATTTTGCAGTTTCTAAATATAATTTCTGGAATTCTGCTTAAATGTTTCAACCTTGGGCTTTGAGGTCTTATTTTTAGGACAAGACTTTTACAAGTCTTTCATTGTAATGGAAATAACTAGTAGTACGGGCTTCCCCGCCTCCCTCCCTCCAGGATTTCAACTTCTCCAACACCACCCCTGCTCTTCTAGTAAATCCCACAGAACACAACAGGCCGAGTACCGCCGAGAGGGGAGGAAAGTAGGAAACCGGCGCCATGGCAACCGCGCAACGGAGGAAACGCGTGAGCTCCTGGGTGGTTGGAGGGAAAGGAACCCTCCTCCTGACGACGGTCCGAAGGCGCTCCTCGGTGACGTCACGCACTCTCGGTGACGTCACGACCGTGACACGCGGGTGACGCCGTTGCCGCGGCGACTTCTCGTCGTCTCCGCCCCCTTCGCCCGCCCCCCCACCCCGCGTCCTTCCCCCAATCCCCTCAGGCACCGCTGCGCCCGGGGCCGCGGGCCGGTACCTGAGGCCGTGCAGGCGCCCTCCCGCCGGCGGCGCCGCCCCGGCCGCCCCTCCCCGCGCCCCCCGTGCCTCCGCCCCCGCCTCTTCCCGCCCTCCTCCTCCCTCCCCCTCCCCGCCCAGCGGCGGCCGCCCGGGCCCGGCTCTCGGTTATAAGATGGCGGCGCTGAGCGGCGGCTGCGGCGCCGGCGCGGAGCAGGGCCAGGCTCTGTTCAACGGGGACATGGAGCCGGAGGCCGGCGCTGCGGCCTCTTCGGCGGCGGATCCTGCCATTCCCGAGGAGGTGAGTGCCGGCGCCACCCTGCAGCCCCCGGCGTCTCCGCGCTGGCGGACGGGTGTTTATTTGGGGGAGAGAGGCGGCGGCGGGGGCTCTAGAGCCCTGGGCCACCCTCTCCCGACGGCTCCGCTGGGTGGTGAGTGGGCATCGTCCCGCGGCCCTTCTCCGTCACGCGGCTCCTCGCTACGTAAACACACACAATGGCACGGGGAGGGGTCCCCTGGCCCCCACCCCTGCTGTGGGCTCGGGCCGCGGCGGACGGGCAGGAGGCTGTCAGTAGGGGGCGAAGCTCGGCTGGTCGGGGAAGGTCACGCCTGGCGGAGGTGTCAGTCCTGCATCTCTTCGGGGTTTTCATTGGGGGGGGGGGGAAGGGGCCGCTTCGTCCAAGTGGAGGCTGTAGGTGTGCGACCCGCCAGGACCCCGGCCCGGGTTACCGCCGAGTGGGATTACTCCCGGGTCCGGGGTGACGGGGCGCATCTCTCTCTCCTCTCCCTGACCACCCTCCCACCCTCGTCAGGCCGCTGTCCCTCCTTCCACTTCGGTACTTGTTGGGGGGGATTTCTTTTCACCTGTTCTCCCAGGCGGATAGTTGGGATTTTGTCTTCGCTTACCCGCCCCCGGATCGCACAGTGTCTGCTGCCCTGTTCGTCCCGGTCTCGGGTCCCTCGTCCCTAATATTTGTCAAGTGCTCTGTCTCTGACTGGTAACCCCCATCGCGTCCTCGCCTCTCGCCCCGCACATTTTCCATTTGTCGGACCTGCCAGCCTCCTAACCTCTGCTTCCACTGAAGAGCATTTTTGCACTTCTCTTAACCCTGGTCCTCTTGAGGCCCTCTGCTTCGCTCCGCCGCTCCTTTCCGTGGGTTCCTTTCCGTCCTTATCTATTGTTATCTTCAGGAACCCTTCTGGACACTTTAAAGCTACTCACTTTCTGAACCCTGAAGCTGTCAAGATTCCCTCCGGTTCGCTTGGCTCTTTGCACCCTTACCCTACTGACACCTTTTGACTAGTCTCTCACTGTGCATCCACACCTCTTTATTCTTTTTTTAAGTAAATTTGATTGATTTCTCCGTGTTGTCCTCCTTTTCGTCCTATTTTTCTCTCTCACTTTTTCCTCTCTTCAGTTTTTGCCTCTTTCTTGTCTTTGCACTATTAAGCCTTTTGTCACCTTGTCAAGTTACTTAATTTACGTTTTTATTGCATGAACTTCACTATATTCAGAATTTGGTACCTTACTACACAGAACAATACGCTATTATACTTTATAACTAATAATGTAATATATGTCCTACCTATATTATTATTGGTTAGTGTGACTTATTTTTCCATCTTGTTCTTTGCAATTTTCTTTCTCCTGCCTCATGCTCTTTAGTTTGGAAATTAGTCTAATTTTTTTTTTTATTGTTTTCCATCCTTTTATATACCATCTCCATCTGTGCCCAAAATGTGGTCTGTACATCACTTGGTCTAGTCTAAATTTCCCCTTTTTTCTTATTTCTTAACTTAAAATCATTTCACTTTCCAGTTTTCTGTTCACATCAGTTCCTACTAATATCTATTCATTTCTCTCAACTGCTTGGATTCCAAGGATAAAGCTCTTCCCTTCATCCAGTTCCTAGTTTATTCTGTTTCCCTTGCCCTCTTACCATTCATTCTGTCTTGTTTCCTGGCTTTGGGTACTTAACTTACTGAAGCTTCCTCTTGTCTTCCCCACACCTCCACATTCCTTCTTATTTATAAACATCTTTGTTCGGTTGACATGGAAATTTATTTTTAGGATACATTGTTTTTAATGGATAAATACAGGGGTCACATCTGCTGTCTATTTTCTCCTGGAATCGGATATGCCTTTGTCTTATCAGGCACAGGTGCCTTTGGGGTTTACTTACTCTGCAGTGCATGTGTGGTTTTGTTGAATTGTATAGATGTTTGAAGGCTACTACAGAGAAGAACAGATGAATTAATGGGTAGGAGTTATGAAATTGTAATTCTCTGATATACTATTGTTTACATTGAGAAGTTCCTTTCAGAATTATTGGGACACTTTGCAATTCTATAGAGAAGGCTTTTATTAAGTCGAATTTCTGCCCCGCTATTTCACTTGAAAGGACCAGGCTGTTCAGAATTCTACCTGCTGGATAGTGCCTTAGGTGAGCACTAGGGCTATGGTTTTCTGTATTTGGCTTACTTCCTGAGCAACTCCCACATATCAGTGCTTGAGAACCTCTAGGCTAGATGAAATTAAGTTTAAATTGCCAGCAGTTGGAAAACATGTTTGCATCTTCTGAAACTGTAAGTGCATTCTTTAATTTTATTTAGTAAAATACAGATGTTTTCCACTGACTCCCTCCACCTGGATTTCAGTGTTTAGTGATGAATAGTTTATCCTCAATGTTTTTTTAAGAGCTAATAATAAAGGTATTTATCTTGGGGGGGGGTGGTAATAAATGATAAAAAGTCTACCTCTTTTGAGTGTAGATATCAATATTACAGAAAACAAAATTCTTTCAAGATATAATTTTAATTTGAAGTTGATATTCAGTAGAAATTGACATTTACAATGATCTTTTAATTAAACTGTCTTTCTTATATTGTACTAAAAAGAATATCATATAATTGTCAAGGACATGGAAAGACATGAAAAATTGTGCTTCTGTGTAACAGCATATTACATTCTGAAAATTTATCTTACCTGACATTAAAATATAAGCTTTTAAAAAGAAGTTTGTCAAGAGGGAAATTTCACCTGTGGTAAATAAATTCTAATTACAGAGGGAAAGCACATTCATATTGAAAAATCAGAAGTGTAAATACAAAAAGGAAAAAAAAAAGTCATGTATAATCTTACCACCAAGATAAAATTACTATAAACATTTTGGTTTCTGTCTCCTCTTTCTATGCTATTGTAGTACACTTTTGTATTACGTGGTTTTGTAATTTTTTCCCCCTGGTACTGAGATTGAACTCAGGGCCTCACGCATGTTAGGAAAGCTCTCTACCTCAGAACAGTGTCCCTATTCTTATTTATTTATTTATTTGGCCAGGGTGTCTCTAAGTTGCCCAGGTTGGCCTTGTATTTTGGATCCTTATGCCTCAACCTCCTAAGTAGCTGAAGTTACCAGTGTGTGCCATACCCACTTTGTAATTCTTTTTAACTTAAAAATATAGCAAAACTTTTTATGTATCATTAGGGTATGATTTAGCTAATCAGCTTTTTTGGATAGTAGTTTATTTTAAATTTTTTAAATTCAAACATCTTAGATATAGAATGTAGATTTTAGTATTTAAAATTACTTTGAGGAATTAACAGATTTCATGTCTTGTATTTTTATAACTTTGTAGGGGCTTAAATTAGAATATTAGACAGGAACTTATTTAATGTTTGTTAAATGAATGTGTTTATACTTGGGGCATTAAATGTTTACTTTTGATCATTCATTTTTCTTTGATGTGTCTTTCAGGCTGTTTTTGAAGCCTCTGTTTTTTCCTGTTGAATTTGATTGTCTTGATAAATTACAGAGCCCTTGTACCTGTCTCATGAATAATTTATTATTATTATTATTATTATTATTATTATTATTATTATTATTATTTTGGTGGACTGGGGGTTGAACCCGGGGCCTTATGCATGCTAGGCAATCACTTTATGACTGAACTACATCCCCAATGCGATGTTGCTTTCAATAATTATGTGGTATATGGTATAATATGAAAATAAGGCACAATAAATACATTGAATATAAAAAATATGTGATACTAGGATATTACCCTGCACCTCTTGTGCTGTGTTTCGGTAGAAGGCAGTTTATTATAATCTTATATTTAGATTACAATTGCAGTTGTTTTTTCTTGTTTTCAAGATATCTTATGGACAATTTTGGTTAAACTATGTAATTATGATAATGCAGTAACTAGGGAATATTCTGGGATGGGATCTCCCTTATAATGAGGTCCAAATTGAATGTAGTGTTTGTGAACCAGGGGTTAGATTGCATCATATCCCTGAAAAGTAGTATTCCCACTAAGGTAGGAGTGGTATTCCCACTAAGGTAGATGATGCATGTGCAGTTTTGGCAATTAATGTTAATATTTGTCTAGATATAGTCAAAGGTTTCCTTTAGGCAGAAAACTATGCAACAGCTGTCTTTGGTATTTCTGTATTCCCTTTTGGTGCACTTTTCTTTCTCCTCACCTTAATGAACTCCTTTATGCATCTACTCACCCCTTTTATTTAAGAAATTATCTGATATTGGTCACTAATATTTATTGTCAGTAAAGAGATGAGAAAAGAGTATTGGACTGGATACTTGAATACTTGAATGTAGTAAACCTGAACATAAATTTGATTTGATTGTATTTGGACAATAGCTAGAAAAATTATATTAGGATAACAAGCTAGAGCATTCTGACTTTTCATGTTTTTCTGACCTCTACTTTCCTGATTAGGATGAATAGGAAGCAGATCTAACTAATAGAACCTTTATCTGTGAGTGATGAGGAAGCTGCATCCTCCCTCCTTCCCTCCCTCCATTAATTTGTTCCTTCCTTCCTCCCTCCCTCCCTCCCTCCTCTGCCCCCTTGGTATCAGAGATTGAACCCAGGGGCATCAACCACAGAGCCACATTCCCAGCCCATTTATTTAGAGACAGGGTATCACTGAGTTGCTTTAGAGCCTCACTAAATTGCTGAGGCTGGCTTTGAACTTGTGATCCTCCTGCCTCAGCCTTCCAAGTGCTGGGATTACAGGCACTCCCCACTGTGCCTGGCCATTTTTTGGCATTTTCTAAGACCTGTGCCTACCTTGTAAAATGAGACAACTACTTGGTGTTCTTTCTTTTCCTTTTTTATCTAATCATAATTTTTTCCTTCAGAACTGATAAAATGTATTTTATTTTGACACCTTGAATATTTAATTTAACTGAGAATTTATTGACCATTTTGTCATAATATCCTAATTTTCCAATATTTTTGCCTCAAAGTGTCATTAAGACAAGACACTCCCCCCCC